GGAGCTCGCCATTGGTCTTGCAAAAGCCATCCGTGTCACTAACGGTGAGAAATACGGCGTCACTTCCGCCTGCGAGGGAAGCGTGATGACCACACCGACCAAGAAGCGTCCGCAAAGCAACATCGAGAAGTCCCAGAGCGAAAAGAGACTGTGGCCTCGAATGGAAACAGGAGGTGGCAGTGCTCTTGACTGGTTCTATCACGAACTGAAAGTTTCTTACGCTTACCAAATCAAATTGCGAGACACTGGCAGCTATGGGTTCCTTCTGCCGAGTAAGAATATTTTGCCAACTGGCAAGGAGGCATTCAAAGCTGTGGAATATTTCGGTGAGTATCTAATGGGAAACAAAGGGATTGAGATGTCCGAGACTGAGACAAGCTTCAATGACGGGGCCGAAGTACCAAAAGCTAAAGGAGTGATAGTAGAGGAGGAGGACTGGGTGATGGTGGAGCAGGAATTAGAGGATGACCTCGAAAAGGAGGTAGTCGCCAGTTGGGAACTGCACCGACGACGAAGAAAGTAGGTCACGTAACATGTAATAGCCTGTCGCACTTTTGGGTATGATATCTATTGGGGAAGGAGCGGGAGCGGGGGGTTTTCAAAGGGTCTATATTCTTTTGAGGAATTGCCTCAACATATGACGAAGTAGTTAAAATCCAAGACCATCACGTCCGTTACTTTGGTATTGACGAGGTAAAAAGCCTCAGTACAAGAGCTTGATTGGGGCAAAATTATCAAGCAATTTCATCTATCGAGCATGGTCCATGATATTATCTATAAAGCTGCTACAGCTATTAATGCATGGTTGCCGGTCTATGGCCTTAGCTAATAGGTGCTTTTCCTTGCTCGAAGTGACGGACCCGACCCGTTTTTATTACTATTCCTCTTTGCAGGCTTCTTGACAGCGACCGCCTTGCTCGGCAAACTCCCTTCATCGCTGTTGTCATCCTCATCACTTTCGTGTTCGAAGAAGTGACTCTTGAGTGCCGTTTCGCTCTTCCTCGCTGCTTTGCGTTTCGGCGCTGCCCTTCTTTTGGGCAAATTGGTGGGTACTTTACCATTGTGACCGCTGATGGTTGTAGCTGCTTTCTTCCCAATTGTCGAGGCTTCCTTGGGGAGTGTTACCTTGTCGTCCTTATCTGCTTCGGTTAAAGCCCCGTCGCTGTCATCGGTGTCCGGGGGCCCACGATTCACGACATCCGAAGGCATTGGTGGAGCGTGCGGAGTACTAGTACCATTCAAAGCATCCCTGTCAACCGGACCCCCTCCATCTTCAATTGTGAGCTCGCCCGCTCTACGTGGGACCTCCTCTTCGTCATGTGCTTCGGGGAGAAAACCTCCACCATCAAGGGCGTCATCATCTGCAGGGAAGCCACCTCCGATGTCTTCTTTGTCATCGGCGTAAGTAAATGGACCTCTGTATGGTTTTGGACCCGTTCCAGTCTCGGCTTGCCGGGCCTTCTTGGCCTTGCTTGGATTCGTGAAAGGGTTCACTTCCTCGGCGGTATGCGCATCCGCGTCGCCTCCGTACTCCTCCCTGACCCGTTCGATTATACGCAGGCCCATCAGCCATTTCCTCCACGTTCCTAACGCGGTTTTCTCCCTCTTGCCTTCTTCTTTGATCTTTCGCTCTTCCTCATCTTTCTCCCACCTACACATTTTATACTAAGTCAGCTTGATTCATATTCTGGGGTAAAAGCCTGGGTCCGCAACAACTTCGTAGAGTTAAGTATGCCTTTCGCTCGCAAGAGATATCTTAGATCCCAAAGAGCGGTATGAATTTGAGAAGATGGGCCTGGGAAAATGTGCACATACTCATCAATTACTGCGTGCTCGTGCCCCTTCGCAACCACCACGCCGGTAATTACAGGCACCGCCCTCTGCTTACCAAATTCGAAACCGGTCACAGCTTCCGCGAAGTCTATGCCCAGTCTCTTGCATATTCTGACGGTACTTTTTAGCGGTATATGAACAGCACCCTTCGGGACCATAGTGGGAACATAGCAATCCATGTTACCAAATGCGTTCTTTGGAATGACTCCATTTTCGATTGGTGGGGGAATGATCCAGTCTGTCTGGTGCAAAGCGTACAGGCCTTGTTTGAGCTTTTCACCATCTCTCTCAGCCTCTTCAACTTCACGCTTCCTGGTAAGGGTGACTGCCCGAACAGGCACCATTTTCATCGGAAACTCGCCTATAATGAATTTGGTTTAGCGGATTAAAAACGGTAACGTGGACAGGGTTGGAAGGATTTGGTCCGAAAAGGTACGTACCAGGCTTGACCGCCCGACCTTCTTTGTGCCAGCTTTCGCCCGTGCGGCAGATCTCAACATCATTACGTCTATAAACAGGTTCCTCCTTCACCTTGTCTCCTTTGCCCGTAGTGAATGTGCTTACAGGAATCGCACCCGGCAGTAGCGCTTCCTCTCTTCGCAAATGCCTTTCAAGCACATACTCTGCAGAAGCTTTGAAGCTTTGAAGAGTTCCTTCGCTTGCTTTGAGTTCTTTCTTCTCCGGTTTCATAGCCTTGAGGTCTTTAGCCTCCTCAATGTCATCTGCTACAGTCCTCATATCCGGAGTCCTAGAATAGCCGCTCATGACTGTCTTGAACCAATCGTAGTCCTCATAATGCTTGATCTTTCCTCTTCTATTGTAGACGGGCACCTTCTCGATTGGAAGCCGTACTCCTTTGGTTCTGCCAGGCCACATGTGCCGTTTTAGGTAACGAGTAGTGACATCTTTGGCTGTTCCATCAGCGGAGTATGCCACGATGTATCCAAACACCTGTTTTGCTTTGTCCGCCTTGGCGCCTCTGGATTCAAACTGACCTAGATGTTCGGGATTAGTTGCCACTGCTGGAGTGAGTATCATTGGATCGACTGGGAAAATCTCGCTGGTGACGGGGGATATAACCTCGGTCCAGTAGGTCGGAAACGGCATGTCTCTATCGTAATTCATGTTCGCTCGCGTACGAGGAGTAGCAGGTGTTACATCAACTACGGACGCGTCGTCGTCGTCGTCCTCCTCATCGAACGGGATGTCCTCCCCACTGTCCTTAAATGAGACTTCCGAAAGGTCTACTGGCGCACTCCTCGCACCTCTAAGCATATCATTTCTACCAACGGTTTTGCTGGGTGTCGTGGAAGTTTTCGTTACCATAGGCGCGATTCCGGAATCAGATTCTTCACTGGGGGCAGGTACCTCATCAGCATCGTTCATCTTCGGTATTTTCGAAACATTCCTCCTCTGTTCCGAAGCTTCTTCGTTCTTGCTCCAACCAAACCCAACAGGCTGCAAGCTCGTGGTCAGCCTCGTTTCGAGTCCTAGACCCCGAATCAAAGTGGTAAAAAGCTGGGCTCCAACGTCTCGGGAGCCTTCGCAACTTTTCGCGAGCTTCCTGAACTTCTCAATGCTCCCTATTCGCTCGCCGTGCTGTTCTGGGTCGTGCTTGTCGTTCCTATACGATGCAATGTCCTCTTCTAAGACCGCAAGTGCTTTGTACCCTTGTTTCCGTAGCCCGGGGGCTGTAATGGTGAATCGCTTTTTCCAATAGGCAGCCAGTACTTTGAGTAGTCGTAGGGTGGGGTCGCCTCGACTCATGTTTGGAGCACCTCTTTCTTGCCTCTCTGCAGGTCTCCCCCAATCCCTCTGATTCCTCTCGCTTTGTTCTGCTCGTTTTCCTTTCTTATTATTGCATGTCGTAAATTTGGGGTCCTCCACGGCAGCATCTCGAATGATCCCTGCGGCGATCTTCCATTTGGTGATTTCCTTGTTCACGCCGGGCGGTATTTGACCAACTAGAATACGCTGAGTCTCCTTGTCACATGTCCAGCCATTTCTGATTAGATTGTGGAAGAGCAGGAATTGCACGTGCATAATGTGTGTGGACACCCTGATCTGTCTTTCAATCTTGCTTGGTCCTTTACTCTTGTCTTGAGGATTGGTGGTGGAGCCAATACGAGCACTTTTGTCAAGTGTGAGCTCAAGATCACCCGATGGGCCAGCAGCTGCGCTTGAGGATAGCGTGGCATTAGGATATATAGCGTCCTCCCAATCAACTTCATCGTTGTCCTCGTCTTCCTGGTGCGCTATCTTCCGTCTTTTCGAATTCGGTGGCGACTGAACATCCTCGAAGTCGGCACTGCTAACATCGCTGAGAGAACTGTCACTTTCTGAGCCACCCAACTGATCAAAAAAAGCCTTGTTATCTTGTAAAGTCGCAGACGCGTCGGGCTTATCTGCGGTATCAAAAAGACTGGGCTTCTTGGCTAAATTTGGCGTTGGACTATTGGCAGAAGAGGTGGACAAACGGCGTTTGGAAGGGATGAAAGGTGGCATTCTAAGTGTTTGTGGTCATTTGGCAGTGGATCATCACCACTATCACTATAGAAGAGTTGTCGGCGCCCCTTTTGACTTGTATTCGTCGCGCCCCTAACGGAAATGACAAGGTTTGCCATGACGTCGGGAGATCTATCGCTAATCTTGCCTGGACGATCGACAACGCTACTTTAAGTACTCTAAGACCTGTCAAAGTCTTTGGGGAAAGGGGGAGCTCGGGGGGGTCCCAGCTTTCGGGTAGAGCGTGGCACCAAGTAACCGCCAGCTTTTGGATTGGAACGTATATCTCTCGACAATAAAATCTACACTCACGTTTTACGACCTCATCCTGCGATTTTTGAGACACTCTGGGAGCTCATAGAGTCCAAGAACCTCTAATTCACTCTCCGTAAATGGGATGCCTCGTCTATTGAAATGAAGCCACTGTAAACTCCCTGACGTGTGGTTTCTTCACAAATCTCTATTCTTAAGTCTACGGCTCAAGGCACCTGTGGTAATTGCTGTCGACCTAGGAGGCTATCGAGGCTCATATGCGCCCACTAAGACTATCATAACGGCGCATAGCTTTCTAGTGAGTCTACACCGCATTTGCTGTGTCTCGAGATCTACAAATGCCTAAGCTAACTGACCAGAACTTAGCTCGCTCTTTGATGTCAAACGCAATGGAAGCGATCAACAATCGTCTCAAGCAACTGGAAGACATTGAGACGTCTCTACCTCGGGCAAGAGGCAACCACGCAAAGAAGTGCCAGGGAAGACAGGCAATTGCAGCTCAAGAGACAGGAAGAACATCGCGATTTTCTTGAAGCACTGAGGGAGCGGGATCAAGAAGAGGATGTGAGTACACTGCGCTCTCCCACTCGACGGTCTAGAGTTAAAGGGAGTGCTCAGGAGCTCCGTCGAAGACGAAGGATCCTTTCTCGGTCTTCCTTTGGTCATCTGGCGGTAGGATCTCGTGATGATGAGAGCCAAGCTTCTACAGATGTCGAAAATTGGCCGGTGACAAGAAGCGAAACGAAGGTCAAGCGCTCTGCCAGTAAGATTGTCCCCAGCTCCAGCTCAGGGAGAAAGGACTACGGTCTGCCCACTGCTCGCGATAGCTAGGGAAGGGACTTCTTTACACGACCCTCGGACGGCAAGTTGGTCTATCTTCACTGTTGCATACCGGGGTGTGAAAAAGCCAATTTCCCCAACGCTATGGCGCTTCGCAACCATGTCTGTTCACCGACAGGATTGCAGAATATCAAGAGCCTGAATACTAGCAATACTCAAAGGTGTGCGGGCAGATTGCCCCAGATCAGGAGGAACCTTCGACCACCACAAGAGACCAGCCATTTGGGGCTGCGCCATTTGCGAATATGATATGCGCAGGTGTCTTAACGCCACCTCCAACTGGTTCTGACGAGTGTTAACTTCAGAGTAAAGCAAGCTCTCGGTCGATCTCCCACACAGAGGCCAGATTTGGTGCGACGCTCAGTAAGACACTGGAACGATTCAAGGCGCAAGATCTTGGCAAGGCGTACAGGACGAGGCCTTCACGCAATGGTAGTCAGACGCAGTCGAGGACTAGGGCAGAAGATGCTGCAGAGGTATTCAATGCGTTCATGAGCTCAGATTGTGGGGACAGCGACGAGAGCGAGGACGAGCCTCTTCTACATCGAAAGATTTCTGCGGATAGGATAGACCAGCACAAAGCGGCGAACAAGGCCACAAACCCCTCGACTCGTTTACGAGCTGGTGCAACATCCGGCAGAAAACGTGCAAAGACAGCCGGTGGTGACTCAGCGTTGATCGTTCTGGCGGTCGATGACCAGGCTATCAAAAAGGAGCATAGCCCCAGTCTTTCGCTATTTCCAGAACAGTCAGAGCATCACCCAAGCCCAAGGACTCTCGTTGTTACTCCTGAAGCCGAGCAAGTCCCAAACTTTGGGACCGAGACCATTGCAACGCCCAAGAGATCCAGCTCAGCTCCGCTCGTCACACCTCCTACTATCACCAAGCGCCTTCGCCTTACGGATGAGAACTTGGAGCACTTGGTACGTTCATGCAGTGAACTGGTAAGGGGACGAAGATAATGTGATTGGACGTGGAAAAAGCCGACACGGAAAGGGGCCTACCTCTCTGGGCGAATTACCACACTCTAAGGGTCATATGCGCTTTCTGACCACGCAATTTGGCAGTCATCTTTGACATAGTTTTCAAAGCATCTGCAGATACAATGGTCTCAATCTTCTCGTTCTCGGACAAATTACTCGCTCCACCACCCGGCTCACGCATCACTTCGCAGCCTATATCACGCCAGACCGACGTTCCTTGGCCTTCCTCGACGATCCACGCTTTCTCTACAGGAGGTGTTATACGTTTGCCGCTGGCACGTGCAAAGGTGGCTACCTCGAACGAGACGGACGGCGGTCTATATGACACTTGCTAGTGTTACCGGCTTTGACTTTGGTAATGGCAGCTGCAAGATCTTCGTTCATTAGTGGGCCACGTCAGCAAACACTGGCTCGAGCAAAAACTGGCTCGTTCGCCATTCCACTGGAGATAGTTTAGCAAAGGAGGAGGCAAAGGCTGCTTCAATGACTGTCGGTTCAACTCAAATGCAAAGTACAATTTTGAGCAAACGCTCAATATTATCTGTAATTTGACATGAATCGGCTAAGGCTCTGATACCCAGTGAATGCTCAATCCCAAGCCTGGTGCTCATACGGTCCTTCAGCCGTCATGACTAGCGTCAGCCTCTCCTAAGCTGAGAAACTTCTTAAGAATTCAGGTCAGTGAGATTGTGTTCCCGTGCGTAGGATCCCAACATGCACGACAAATCCTGAGCCATCCTTTAGCTCATCAATCAAATGATCATCAGGCATCTTCCACACTTTGAAAAGCTTGTGAAAAGCTTTTAGCCAAGCTACGAAAACCATATCAGAGCGTAGTTGCTGAGCGACTATACACAACGTCGGCTTCTCAGCCGAGCATGCGTTGGCCAATTGGCATATATCAGCACATGTGCGTACGAAAGGATCGATAAGTGACTCGTTGTAAATGCAATCGCACGCTATGACGGCATCAATGGCTTGGAACACCTCTGCTGAATCTGTACCCATCATTGCAGGTAAATTTGATGCCAAGCTGGACTCCCAATCCAAAGCTAAGACCTCTATCTTGCTCCTAACGCGCGCACTGCCATTGCTAACTTGCGCCTTGCCATGATGCTTGGCAATACTGGAGCCTGAGCCTGTTCCTTTCGGACTGTTGTCCTCAATGTTAGCCTTCAGCAACTTGAAGACGTACTCTTGATCGGTGGCGATATATCTGCCAATTCGGCGGGCCAATGCGATGGCTACAACGCCAGAAATGCCAGACCCCAGCTCCAGCGCTATCGAGCTCTCGTCAAGAACAGACAACCGAAACAAGATATTGCTGTTTGATGTGATCCACTGCGCAAACAATGGTGTGATCTTCCATACAACAGCGCCAGTAGTGCCCCCTTCTCGATTGGACGACAGGAGCGTGGGTGACTGTCGGATATTTAGGTCCCTACCAGAGACAGTAATCTCCAGATTCGTCGCTTTTGCGTCCACAAAACCGAGATCCTGAGACGGGAGTTTCTGGGAAAATAATAGGAAGGATTCCTCCTCTGGATCACTAACATCTTCTCCAAGGAATGAGAGCAGATCTTCTAGTGGCATTGCAAACAGTGAAGTGCTTTCAATCTTGAAAAGACTTCCCGTCAAGATGTGTAAGCAAGAAGAAAGTCGAATGATCAGAGAATAAGAATGGTCGTTTGGGTAAAGTGAATAGAATAGGGAGGTGAGAAACTTCAAAGGGAGAGTCCCCAAATGCTGGGAGGTGTAAGGTCTAAGGTTATCACCGGTGCCCTGTAGGTAGCGACACAGAGCCCGCCGTCAACAAATCAAGAGACATGACACAATGTATAGCAATAATTAAGACAGTCTGAAGACGAGATAAAGAGAAAAATCAACTTCGTACGAACTCGACATGTTCTAATATTACGATATTACGGCGAGTCGAGGTAAAGCTACGGAGTGTTGAAAAATTACATCATCGGAAGTTCGGAACCGAGGTACGCTTCAGCGGGCACCTACTTTACCTGCCACCAGCCACGAGTCTCGCCGTAGGCTGCACCATCACCGCAACGGCTTTTAGTGGAGAAAACAACCCTTTTCATATACACATCCTTCATCATAACGAACTCTCAACATGTCGAAAAAGACTCAACAATTGCAGCCGCGCATGTCCCAAAGTGGTCCCTTCACCGTCGAAGCACCCGGTTATGAGCCTGTCAAGGGTGAAACAATACCTCGAAGACATCCTGACTCCAAGGACAAGCTGGTCACTACCCCCTCGGAAGATGTCACAACCATCTTTGATATCTTGAAGCGGAGCGCCGACAGGTTCGGGAATGCCAAAGCCTTAGGCTCAAGGAAGTTGGTCAAGACCCACCATGAGACGAAAAAGGTTAAGAAGATGGTCGATGGTAAGACAGAAGAGGTCAACAAGGACTGGTCTTTCTTCGAGTTGAGCGGCTACAGCTACATCAGCTTCAGCGAGTACGAGAGGTTAGCTCTTCAGATGGGGGCTGGTCTACGGAAACTTGGAATGATCAAAGGCGACCGCTTGCAATTGTTTTCAGGCACAAGGTAAGGCCTTCTATTCTCTTCATGCACGAGCAACTTTATAGCTAATTATGCTCTTCACAGCGCCCACTGGCTTGCCATGTCACATGGTGCAGTCTCACAGTCAATGCCAATAGCCACGGCATACGATACATTGGGAGAAGAAGGTTTGAAGCATTCTCTTGTTCAGACAAAAGCGAAGGCTATCTTCTGTGATCCACATCTACTCAAGACCCTGGTCAATCCTCTGAAGGAAGCAAGAGAGATCAAGTTCGTGATCTACAATGGAGACGGAGAAGTAAAGGAGGAGAACATCAACAAGCTGAAGAGCACCTACGATTATCTGACAATCCTTAGCTTCGAAGAGTTGAGGCAACTTGGCGAGAACAACCCGGTGGATCCTGTACCCCCAGCGGCAGACGATCTCTGCTGCATTATGTACACATCTGGTTCCACTGGTGCCCCAAAGGGCGTTCTCATCAAGCACAGCGCTGTTGTCGCATCCATTGCTGGTGTGACTACAATCATCGGCCAATACATTGGACCTGGAGACAGACTGCTTACATATCTTCCTCAGGCTCATATTCTAGAATTTGTCTTCGAGAACGCATGCTTATATTGGGGCGGTACCATGGGCTACGGCAGTCCCAAGACACTTTCCGATACCTCCGTGCGCAACTGTAAGGGAGACATCCGCGAATTCAAACCGACCATCTTGGTGGGTGTCCCAGCGGTCTGGGAGTCTGTGAAGAAAGGTGTCATTGCCAAGGTGAACCAGTCGGGCATGGTAGTGAAGAATCTTTTCTGGAGCGCGCTTGCTGCAAAGAGTTTCCTGATGTCTACCGGGTTGCCAGGAACAGCAATTCTCGATTCTGTGGTCTTCAAGAAGATCAAGGATGCGACTGGTGGTCAGCTGCGTGTCTGCATGAACGGGGGTGGACCCATCGCAAAGGATACCCAACGCTTTATCTCTCTGGCCATCACTCCCATGATATCGGGATACGGCCTTACGGAGACAACTGCAATGGGCGCTCTGAACGATCCTATGCACTGGACCGATAACGCTCTGGGAGACATTCCATCTTCCGTCGAAATCAAACTTGTTGACTTCCCAGACGCCGGATACTTCGCCTCCAATAATCCACCTCAGGGCGAGGTCTGGATTAGAGGACCTCCTGTCTTCCAAGGCTACTTCGAGAACGAGAAGGAGACAAAGGAAACCCTAACCGATGATGGTTGGTTCAAGACGGGCGACATTGGCGAATTCGATAAGAACGGACACCTCAGAATGATTGACCGCAAGAAAAATCTTGTCAAGACTCTCAACGGTGAATATATTGCTCTTGAGAAGGTTTGATACCCTAGCCCTTCAGATTTGAGTATTGACTAATTGGAACATAGCTGGAGTCTATTTACCGTTCCGCAACAGTAGTGGCCAACATCTGCGTCTATGCTGCGACCGACAAAAATAGACCTGTTGCAATTATCGTGCCCGCTGAGCCGGCTCTCAAGAAACTAGCGGAGGAGAACAGCATTGAAGGCAACGGCATTGAAGACCTCGTTCATAGCAAAAAGTTGAACAGTATCGTGTTGAAGGAGATGCAGGCTGCTGGCAGAGGTGGTGGATTGGCTGGCATTGAGATCATTGACGGCGTGGTCTTGTCCGATGAAGAGTGGAACTCAGCAAATGTAAGCACACCGGTCTCGCTGTAAACTGAGATGGTCTGTACTTACAAGCTGGTAGGGGTTGACTACAGCTGCACAGAAGATTAACCGTAGAGCTCTTGTGTCGAAGTATCAGAAGGAGATTGACAGGGTTTATGCGGGGGGAAATTGAGAATACTGTTGTCCTCTCCCGATTCTTTATTGCACCTTGGGCTTGCAGTCATCAGCGGTGGGGTTTGGTGGGATTGCTAAGTCCCTTATCTTCCTTAGCAAGCATTGTGATGATAAAATGAGCATAAAGCTATAGCATAGTGGTAGCCATAGGTAGATTCTACGGAAGTATATGGCATTTATTCGATCGTGCTTCCACTATACCGCCTAGCTCACAACAACGGTATCTTACATGGCTCCTAGCCCTCCGTGCTATGGCTACCACAGGCGGCCCATTTGGAACCCTGTTGGCATGTTCCTGTTTCTAACCAAATCGGCTTCCTGCATGAAAGCCTCTTACTCAGCTTGCTTGACATCGCAATCTCGACATTTCGCGTTCTCCAGTGATCAATCCACCCTCCTCACTCTGGGTAGCAAATCTTTCAGACCTTCCTTGTCCTTCTCTGTAGGCTTGAGTTCAAAGAACTTTTCCGCTTTGTCTGACAATAGAAGTCCAAGCCCCGCCCAAGCCATGGTCCCGAGGCCAATGTAGACGCGTGTTCGCGGCTGGAGATTGCGAAAGGATCTGTGGGCTTCTCAGCAGAAGCTGCGGGACCGTTGATTCGAGGAATGAAATGGGGAACTTCGAATGGGGACGTACTGCCAGAGTGACATCGCGAAGTCGTATCAATTCATCGTCTCGGCCGGCAAGAAAGGATGGATTATACTAGTAGCAGGAAGTGTATCCTAGGCGGGGTGACTGTGGTCAATGCACTTGATTGATCGAAACAGCTATATTTGGGAGACAATCTGAAGTCGAATTTGAAGAGGCGGGCGATCAAAGAAAGTTTTCAAAAAAGGTCTAGTTCAATGCTATGTAATATCTAGGCATGCAGGCACCAGAAATCCAGATGCACCGCATATCGCTCATATAATGGTATTGCGTGACCCAATCCACGCCTATCAAAAACAATAGTATCCTATGCCCCCCAAAGCCGTCATACCTACACCCATCCACCACCATTTATCAGCATTGACAGGCTCTCTCCGTTTCCTCAGAACGCTCTTGTTCAAAGGCTCGACGAAACTATCCATATCTTCGAGAGTCCGCTTTGCTTTCCCTGTGGATGTAGCTCCAGCGCCGGAAGCACTAGCCGTGGGGTTCAAGGTCTGAGTCGGTAGCATTTCCGGTGGATTGTAGGCGAGATACATGGGGTTGAGAGGGGAGCCATCGGATGCAAAAAGATTGAGGCGCTGAGCTTTACTATAACCATCTACGACAACTTCGTAGTCCTATGATAGCGTGAGTGACTTTGTTCACCGGTAGCAAGGGCTCCAAACTGTTGACTGTACCTTGAAGAGTTCGAATTGATTGTAGCGGGTGAATATGGCATTGGCATTGTTGCAGGGATCTGAAAGCAATTGGCGACCATCGACTCCAAATGGTGTCAGGGTGAGAGAGCCATTTGCATTTTTCGCATATGTGCCGTGCTGCCATTGTATGACGCCTTGCGGGCACGAAGGGTCGCCAGCTAGAGAGTAGTTTAGAGCTTGCATCAACTGAGCTGGGGTGGGCGATCAACAACGCACGATTTGAAATGGCTCTGTAGTACGCCTCCTCGTAATGGCCGTCATCGGTAAAGGAATATGAAAAGCCTGTCAGAGCAGGCTCAAAGATTTTCTCGTTCACTGGGTCGTAGAATCCCTGCTTTTGTCAGTCTTGCCAAGTTCATGCACTCAGCGCGACTCTTCTTTTATAAAACAGCGGAGCGAGTAGTAAACATCGCGAAGAAAAGCATTACACTTACTGGTCCAGTGATGACGCTCCTCGATTTGGTGGTCCATGTTCCCGTTAATTGTGGATCTGTCTGCGCGAATATCGAGTATATAAGCAGCGCGCTCGCGGCCAGTGATGACCGTAGCGACACGATCATGAAGTATGGGGTGCTGGAAAGCAAGTAGATTTTCTAAGGTGGACTCAAAAAAAGGGTGCTGGATTTAGGGTGGACCTATTCCTTACATAATTCGTCCAAGAGTTAGAGCACAAGTCGGAATATTGGTGGAATAATACATTACGGTACATAAGTACCTTACATAACGTGAAGTACAGTAAAGTCAGGAGGAAGGCTGAACGAGGGAAGGGGCGTTATCGGCCAGTCGGGAGCTTAATTCTCTAGTGCGTGAGCCGCATATCAAAGGGTCAAAATAGAAACATAGAGTAGAGCAATAGGAATTACCAACGTTCGCACTTTATGTGAGACTTGAATGGTAGAGGATATTGTGTATATGAATGTGAGATCGTCAAATCAGAGTACATGCATTGGACTGCCTGAAATACTGCCCTCAAGACCAACGGACGCTCATACTTAATGACTGCAATCTGTCATTGGCATACGCGCCGGAGATGGCCGGACTACGAGCGGCGAAGAAGGAATTGCGAACACTGATGCGCCAGCGACTCTCACATGTGTCTCCTGAATCTCTCAAACAGCAATGTCTGTGGAATGTTGGAATCCTCATATAGCCCGGTTTGCTGATTTTTGGTTCCAACAGCTGCTGCTGCTACGGAAATCTTGCTTTCATTACCAGAATATAAGAAAGCCCAGTGCATTGGCGTTTATCTATCCATGCCTAAAGGTGAATTGGTCACGACAGCTATTATAAATGATGCTCTCCGACAGGGTAAACAGATCTTTGTGCCCTACATCTACCATAGCAAAGTCCAGGATTGTTCCAAGTCCTGCTCTACAATGGATATGGTATCTCTGTGTTCGAAGAGCGACTACGAAGGATTGGAGCCTGATGCTTGGGGCATTCCCTCCGTAGCAAAGAATTCAATAGCCGAGAGAAGTCGAATCTTGAAAGAGTCAGGGAAATCTTCTGGCGCCGTCTCACAAGATTCCGCAAAGAGCGAGACGAGTTCGAGAAGCAGGAGCACAGAATCAAGAAGACTTGACTTGATTGTCATGCCTGGAGTGGCTTTTGATAAAGGCCTAGGAAGACTTGGGCACGGCAAAGGTTTCTATGACTTTTTTCTGGAGCGTTACCATGATTTGAAGGTTTCTCTGCTCGGAGAAGAAACAAGGATGCCCTTCCTCGGTGCGTGCCAAGGGGTTTGAACCTCGAACCCGGTCATTCTGAAACTTACTCATATTCTTCTAGTCGGACTCGCCCTTGATGTGCAGCTGTCGCCGGACGAAATTCCTACTGATGCTTCTGATTGGCGGTTAGACGCATTGGTCGTTGGTGATGGTTCGGTCATTCGTAAATAAAACCCCAGCAAATCTAAATGAGAGAGACAATTCGAAAAGCTTTCTCTTGGAATTCCTAAGGAGCCTTGCAGTTATTTCGACATGTGAATTCTCCAATTCTCCGCCGTTCACCTGATTACCAAAAAATTTATTGTAGGGCCTGGATTAGAGACACGTTATCTCCTTTCAGAAGTATCTGGCCTTACATTGAATGTTAGCGAAGGCTCACAAAGCCATCTTCTGGAAGCATCTATACCTAATTCCCTGCGCTTCTCCTCCTCTGTCTTTGTAGCTTGCTTGACTTCCACTGCATCGTCTATCACCAGATTCATGAACTCATCGAAGCCCTGTGCCATCTTTTTTAGCTTGTTCTAGCCCCGAGCTTCATAGCAGATTATACCCTAATCTTGCCCTCTATTCGGATAGCCAGCTGCTCAAACAACCATATTGACACAGTCGAGCGCTGCTGTAGGAGCTTGAATATGAAGTTGATCGGAGGTAAAAGGACCTTTCCTCTTCCTCCTCCTCCACCTCCTCCACGGCCGGTCATTGTGCTTTCTGGCAGTCTTCAGGATCTCGAGACGCCGGAGTGTTCAAAGATGGGAAGGGATATCCTTCTCTTATAGTGATCAAAGTCACAGAGGGTCCGAAGGTAGTAAGGTGTTATGCTTGTATCCTGTGCTTTCCAGATGCAGCTCAGCTCAGTGCTTCCTTTTCAAGTGTAGGACCGAGGCGATTTGGGATTGCGCAAAGAAGGCGGGCCGAGCATTGATCCGCCGCAATCGGCATTGAACAATTCAACGCTAGCATTACCTGTACAATATTACGATTCTTTTACTACTTCACTCTCCTCATACCGCCATTTCTTCTTCTCGATTCACACTCAGACCTCTTTACGTCTATACCCATGCGCGACTCAGCTGTGGACGTCTCCGAGAATATTGCTCCCTGAAAATACAGCATCGAAAACAACAGGGTCTGCAGACATGGCTGCTTCAGGAGCAGAAGGCTTTGCACCGGTACTGGCAGCTCTGTCTACTATGCAAAGCAACGCCGAACGCTCTCAGAAATCACAAGCGCACGAGTATCTCGAGAAGTTCCAGAAGTCTGTACGTCGAACAAAACCTTCCTCGCTCCATTCAGTGAACCATACTGACGTTAATGTAGCCAGGAGCTTGGTCAACGACACATTCAATATTATCTACCACGGACGCCACGGCAGAAGCAAAGCTGTTTGCTGCGACGACATTGAAAGGAAAGGTAAACGATTCACAGAGGAATCTGCAGGTGCTCGTCTGACCATTCACACAGATTACGTATGACTTAGATCAGCTTCCCCGACAATCTCTTCCAGCTCTGCGAGACTCGATTCTCAACTTCCTGACTACCTTTCGTGATGGACCAAGGCCCATACGAACGCAGCTATGTGTGTGTCTAGTCAATCTAGCCATACAGATGATAGAGTGGAAGGATGTCCTGCAAGTTGTAGGGTCAACCTTGGGAAACAGCGGTGGCGACTGTGTTCTGGATTTTCTCAGAGTGCTTCCCGAAGAAGTCACCGAGGGCCGAAAAATCAACTTGACAGTATGTGGGGCCGAGACATCACCAGCTTGCAGCCAAACAGCGTCGGCTCTGCGTGCGAGAATTATCAGTATCTAACGAATCACATCGCTCTTAGGAAGAGGACCTCACGAGCAGAACGAAGGAATTGCTGGAAGACAACGCAACTCAGGTCCTCAGGCTTCTGACCCAATATTCGCAATCGTCTAGTAGGTTTACAGGTCAGAGAGCTAGCATCTTCAAATACTGATTATAACCCAGCGAGTGCTGCATCAAATCCGCATCTACTGGAATGTATTTCGTCATGGCTGCGAGAGATCCCGGCTGCTGATGTTGTGACTTCCCCCCTTTTTGATGCTGTTGTACATGCACTCTCCGTAGAAGCATCGTTTGAGGCCGCGGTGGACTGCATGTGCACGATTCTCAGGGATACGCGCGATGTAGATGAGTCCATCGAGATCATCCAGCTCATATATCCACGTTTAATGTCCTTGAGGCCACGGATAGGGGAAGCCGCAGAGTCAGACGACGAAGACACCTTCAAGGGTCTCACAAGAATGTTCGCCGAAGCCGGCGAACACTGGGTCGTCATGATTGCTCGGCTGCCAAATGAGTTCAGAGGACTCGTCGAAGCTATCCTGGAGTGCTGTGCCAGAGACACTGATCGGGACGCTATAGCCTCAACCTTTCTATTCTGGTACGAATTGAAGCAGATGATCACGCTCGATAAGTACAAGCCGGCTCGGAATCAGTTCGCTGACGTATTTGCGAGACTGGTGGATATCATGATCAAGCATTTGGAGTATCCAAAGCCAGGAGGCCCAGACGAAACAGATCTCTTTGATGGAGATCGAGAACAGGAAGAAAAATTCCGAGAGTTCCGACATCAAATGGGAGATGTCTTGAAAGATTGCTGCGATGTTATTACCGTCACGGAATGCTTAGGCAAAGCTTTCAGCTTAATACAGCAATGGATCTCTACCTATGGCGCACAAGCTACTAACACGAAGGTCCCCCACTGGCAGGAACTCGAAGCACCTTTATTCAGCATGCGAGCAATGGGTCAGATGGTATCGCCAGAGGAGAACATTGTTTTGCGCCAAGTGATCCCGCTGATTGTCCAAATTCCCAATCATGAAAAATTGCGCTTTCAAGCTATCATGGCTCTTGGGAGATATACTGACTGGACAGCTCAACATCCAGAATTCTTGCAACCGCAGCTGAATTTTGTCATTGCCGGGTTCAAGCATCAATCGAATGAGGTGGTAAAAGCTGCTGCGCTTGCCTTTCGCTTTTTTGGCACAGATTGCAGAAGGCTCCTCACAGACCACGTCACTCAACTCCATGACTTCTATGAATCTGTGCTTGACGAGCTTCCGCCGGCAAGTCAAGAAGAAGTCACTGAAGGAGTAGCCTGTGTCGTCTCGGCGCAGCCGTTAGACAAGATCTATCCTATGTTCAAAGCCTATTGTGACCCCATCATCAAGAGGATGATGTCTCGAGCCAACGATGCTAAGGGCGCAGAAGATGAGGCAGCCAGATTAGCCGTCGCAGGTAATCCCACCAACCTCTACCGAAGTGCGGTGAACTGTGCTAATCAAGGATTCCGACAGATTATGTGCAACTCATTACGATATTCATTCAACAAATCCAGCCATATGTCTCGCCTTCGCTGGAGAACCCAGCGGTGAAGTACTGTCAAGAGATCCTACCGGTCATGTCTGCAATTGCGGAAAACTTCACCAGCTCTACACCAATCCTCGAACGCGTCTGCCGATGCTGGCGGTACATGGTTCTCTCGTATCGCACGGCTGTTCTTCCTTTATTGCCTACTCTGGCTCAACAGCTAGCATCTGGCTTCGAAAATTCGCGTCAGGGTTGTTTTCTATGGGCAACGGATTCTGTTCTTAGAGAATTTGCTAACGGTGCCGAATTCGTGGAGGCCTCCACATCACAAGCAATCTACAGCTTTTTCGAGCAGCAAGCTCTTGCTTTTCTACGGATAATGAACGACCTGCCCCCTAGCGACTTACCCGATGTCATCGAGGATTTCTTCCGCCTTCTCATCGACGCCTTAATCTACTACCACGGAGCTCTGCTACCTGCTCCCATCTGCTCTCCCA